TTATATCTAGCAAATTAGCATTCTCAATTTCTTGATTTACAAACTAATATACTTGCTCCACTCCATGGAATCAATGATCTTAATATTATCCTTATTATTAAAGTCTATTAACTATATAAATGGTTTTATTCTTGTTGTTGTGGGGTTTAATGCCATTCCACAGGGCAAAGTTAGGCTATTCATGGTAGCCTGCATAACTAGTGGTAAAAGAACATAGGAAAGCCCAAATAAGAACCAGAAATTCACACAATATTACAGGTAGCTTTCTCATGTAGCCATTGTGCCTATTCACAAGTGACACCCACATGGATAGAGATGAGATGGCAGTGTATGTATGTATGTATGTATGTATGTATGTATGTATGTATGTATGTATGTATGTATGTATGTATGTATGTATATATATATATCTATATATATATATATATATATATATATATATATATATATATATATATATATATATATTACCATGAAACTTATGTTAATTAAAGGCAATAAAAGAAAAAAATTTCATATTTATTGAAGTTCACATTTTTGTTGTAAATATATTTTATAGAAACATGATATTTAAATGAGTGCCATAAACAGATAACTGTTTCAGGTTCAGTAAGTTAAAGTAAATAGGAAAAATAAAAATTATTAAATTTTAACATTTACTTCATTCAAGCCAATGCAAAATCATGCAAGAAAAAAAAATAAGGTTGAAAACCTGAGACTAATATCTATTTTGGCCCTTGCAATAGCACATAAAAAAATTATAGACACAAAAATAGAATCCAGGTTATATAAGCTGATTTTGCCAAAGTCATTGGATTTCTAGCATAAATACATAAAAAGCAAAAACATGTTTTAGTGATTCAAGTGGCTATAAAAATTTTCTGATAAATTTGACATTTTTAAAGACAATGAATATTTTAATTCCAAGAATACAATGTGTTTTATCCAACTAATGTACTCCATTAATTTTTGGCATTTTAGCTGAACTACATTTGAGACTTCATTAGTATTTTCAAGCTATAAAGTAACCATGCATTATTAACCTCATAAATGTTTCTTTAATCCTCCCAATGCCCAATACCCTATGCACATATTGTAGACATGAACACAAGGATATATAGTGAAATACATACATCTTATAAAATAAATACTTAACTTGTAGTTTCTGTGATAAGCTAACTGACTTTGAATATCAAATAAATCCCTGTAATGTTTACACCCAAACACTGCACAGTGATCATGCCTATTTATTTAATTCAGCCTGAAAAATATATTATACCATAGTTTTGATTTGATCTGTTTACTGATGGGTGTATTAAGAGCAACTTGACTAACAACACAATTGCTTGTCTCACAAAAGCTGATACAATAACATATGACCTCATGGCATCAGTGTAATATAAAACAAAATTAAAGGACTCTCTTGTTGTTGGAAAATTTTGTCTGAAACATATAAGCGATATAATATGTCAACTAATTATATTAATAATAATAATAATAATAATAATAATAATAATAATAATAATAATAATAATAATAATAATAATAATAATAATAATGATCTCATTTTGATCTTTCTTTGTCAGAGAGCTGAAAGCCAACAAAACAACAAATTTATTTAAGAATGCATTGTTTGAATAGAAATTTAAAATAATTTTCAAACAAGTCTTTTCAACAAACCTTGCTAAAATATTTTTTTTCCTATAAAGTGTGTGCATGTGTGTGTGTGTTTTTGTGTGTGATATTGATTAATAATGTAGCTTTAACAATTTTTCAGTCATATTGCTACAATATCTGCAGTGTGGCAGTTAACACTGATGTCGTGCACTGGGGCATCAGGCTGCAGACATGTAGCATGATGTTCCACTGAGTCACATTATCCTGACACCAGGCTGACCAGTCCTAACACTAACTCTTAATGCATAGCACCTAGAAAGGCAGCTATTAATACCATTTTTATAAGTCTCTGATATGACTCAACCAGAATTTAAACTCATGATCTCCCTCATCTGAGGCAGGTGCTCTAACCACTAGGCCACCAGATAGTCCCTCAAAAAGTATTATTTTCAGAAGGTAAACTAATGTGGAAATAGAAAGGAAAAAAATTATATCAATGGCAATAACACATTTTATGCTGATAATTTTGTTCAGGAAATCATGATAAAATCATTTCTTATATAAAAACTGCTGCATGTTGAAATAATCTCTGAAATTCTTTGATAATATCAGGAGTTTCAATTTAGCTCCTATATTGTTCATATCTGAAGAGATATTGGTGTCAATATCATATAGGACTGACAAGAGGTCATGAAAAGTCTTGTGATTGAAATTCCATGTTGATATGACTTTCTATTTTTAAGATGGCTGCCATGGTGGCCATACTTTATATCATCTTGGTACCATTTCCACTTTTGAAACATAAATTATAAATGATATAATTGCTTGGACAGATATTAAATCAAAAGAGTATAATAAGATATCATCAAAGCTAACAGACAAA